GGGATGGCCTGGTCACATGGTCTCTAACTGCCCCCCCTCTCCCCCCCCCTCCCACATCCTGCCTCGACTTTGACACAGTTTATAATTCAGAGCATAAATCAGAGCCTCGTAAATAACGGCAGCACTTCCTTTAACATCTGCACTGGACAAACAGACAATAAAAACAGCAATAAGTGGAGATTAGACCAAATTTATGAGCTCGTAAAAACAGGAGGAGAAACAGGAGGAGGAGGAGGAGCAGGAGGAGGAGGAGGAGGAGGAGGAGGAGGAGGAGCACAGCTCCTTCACATTTACACATTTTAATATTTAACTATTTTAATATTTAACTAAATGAACTTTAAACATGTTAATATTAATAAGTAAAAAATTTTAAAAAAGGATATTTTTATGTTTAATGTAAAAAACAAATCAATTATTTTTTATATAAGGCAGGAAAGTTAAAATTATTTTATTAATTAAAAAATAAAAATTAAAGTTTGAGTTTTGAAATGCGGAGCCAAAACTCTCAGATTGAATTAACTTTTAGATTTTTTTTTCTCATCAGAATTCTCTCCTTAATCTCATAAACATGAATTTATAAATCAAAAAACCCAGAGTTAAAAAAATCTTAAATTTAATTTATTTAACACTGACTGCTGTGAATTATTGTTTAAAAAACATCAGATTTGATGAGTTTGGTCAGAGTTGGTCGTCAAACCTCAACAGTCCGTGCTCCAAACTGACCAATCACTGACCTCCTCTGATATTCACCCCTTCATAGTTACAGTTACAGAAAAACAATGACATAAAGATCCAAATATAACTCAGTCCAATCACACAAACTCCAGTCTGCAGTAAGAATCCACGCCTCCTCGTCTGAGAAACGTCTCCCAACGACAAAAAACTAAAAAAAAAAATCTCCAAAAGTAGAAGAGGAGCAGAGAGCTGTGGAGTCAGCAGCTGGTTGTGTTTCCTCTGTTCAGCCTGGTGTGGTTTGTTGAGGGTGAGTGGATGCGCAGCCGCAGAAGAGTGCCTCTGGTCTTTTTTGAAGTTCGTTAAAAATAGATTCATGATTGAAAGGTAAGAATCCCCCCCCCCCTTCCCTCCCTCCCCCTCCCTCTCCCCCCCCTCCCTCCCACACACACATTCTGCCTTTTCTTCCTCACTTTCTTTTCTTTTTCTAAATCATTCTTTTCCCAGAGTCGGTGGGTGAAGCCCGAAGGCCTGGGAACCCGGGGTCCTTCTGAAATAGCTGCCCCTCCAACTGCCCATCTGATATGTTTTTTTTACACTTACAAAAACAACAAGTCGAACATGAGCGTGTGTTTCCAGGAGTAAATAAGGAATAAAAAGACGAAGGAGGAAGAGGAGGAAGAGGAGGAGGAGGAGGAGGTGCAGAAACTGAGGCTCAGGCTGAGGGTTCTGCGAATTATTTAGGGAGAGAGAGAGAGAGGGGAGAGGGGGGGAGAGGGGCCGCTGTCAGGCTCTTTACAGGCTCAGAAAGATTGATCACCACACTCCGTGTTTTTCCCACTCGGCCTTCCAACTTCCAAGAACGAGTCCTTCCCAAAATATCCTGTTCTAAACTCCAGCTCCTGGACTATTATTAAAGACACACACACACACACACGTCACATCCAGGCTGCTGTGTCAGTGTTAGCACCGTTAGCAACAACAACACAGTCTCTGTACACAGGAGTGGAGCGACCTCACCCTGAACTCTCTCTCTCTCTCTCTCTCTCTCTCTCACCCCTTTTTCTCCCTCACCCACTGTAGGATTTCAAACATTTCTCATCTCACAGCTCCGGTCGACCGTCCTCCTCCTCAGGACAGACTCCCACTCCCACTCCCACTCCCACTCCCACTCCAGATTCACAGATGTACTCACATGGTCCGGTTCTGTCCCACGTGGACCAGACTTGGTTCCAGAGCCCACACCTAAAAAAAAAAAAAAAAAATTATAATAATTCAGGAAGAAAAATAAGAAAATATCATTGAGTTTGTCAAGTCAAAAAAGTCGAAAAAAGTCTAAAAAGTCAAAAAGTCAAAAGTCTGAATTAAATGATATAAAAGATCAAAAACCTGAGTGAATATAAACAACAAAATATGTTGAATTTGTGGAGGAAAAAAAACAATTTTTTTTCGCTTAGCAACACAACAACTGCACTTTATATTTTATTAATTAATTAATTAATGTTATTTTATTTACACTTGTATTAATCAGTAATGAAGCAGAGTTAATGATATCAACTCATTAGTTTTTTTTAATTAACAGAGTAAATATGTAACTTATTCCACTTTCTGAATCATTGTCCCAAAAACTGCAAAGAGTCAGAACACACACACACACACACACACACACACACACGCAGAGAAAATCTTGCAGGTTTCATTCTGCTCACTCGGTCTATTTGGGTTCTAACAGAACCTCAGTGGGTTCTAACAGAACCTCAGTGGGTTCTAACAGAACCTCAGTGGGTTCTCTGGGGAACAGACCGTCAGCAGATGAATAATTCAATCAATAATGACACAAATAAAAATCAATAATCATAAAATAAATAAATAAATAAAAGGACGGACACTTACACTCTCTCTCTCTCTCTCTGGTTAAACATTAATGTCTCTCTCTCTCTCTCTCTCTCTCTCTCTGATGACTTCCAGGTCTGACTCTAACTCTTCATCCTCTTCATCCTCTTCATCCCGCAGCCTCCTCACCGTCTAGAACCTTCTCCAGAATTCCTTCTTCCTTCCTGTAACTTTGAGATTTTTTTTTCTTTTAATCCCGTGTCAGAGACTCTGTGAGATTAATGAGCTGTAAACACTCGGTGTGTGTGTGTGTGTGTGTGTGTGTGTGTGTGTTTTAGGAGCCATATTGCAAACAGAGCTCCGTCCAACATCATGTTAACGGTCGTTACATCACCCACAGGACGGTATGGTAAAGGAGGGAGGGGGGTGAGGGAGGAGGTGAGG